TGGGCCCCACGAGAGGCAAATCCCCACATGGCAAAACCAAGAGCCCATCAAAGAAGGTTTTCGGCAAACGTGTGGATGGGAATCATTCATACGTATCTAATTGGACCAGTTTTTTTGCCTGACAACCTGAATGGCGAATCCTATGAAAACTTTTTGAGATCCGAACTCTGGGAGTAACTCGAAGACCTGCCTCTGAATATCAGGATGACGATGATCTACCAACACTATGGCTGTCCCGCGCATTTCCGTCTGGGTGTTAGACAGTGGCTGGACGAGAAATATCCTTGTCGCTGGATTGGCCGAGGTGGACCGACACCGTGGCCAGCGAGGAGCCCAGATTTAAGACCGTGTGACTATTATTTATGGGGGCACATGAAGGCACTGGTGTACGCTAAGCCCATGGACACTCTTGCACAGTTGAAAGAAAGAATTATTGCTCCTGCTGACACTATCAGAGGACAACTAACGGGCTGCATCATGCGTACCAACATGAGAAAAAGACTACGGGCTTGCATAAGAAACGGCGGGCGTCAGTGCGAACAACAATTGCAATGAATTTTACCTTCATTTCATTATTGTATTTTACTTACCAATTGTAGTAACTTTTAGTCAGTTTTTATTATTCTGTAGTACAATTACAACTGTGTAAATAATCTAATCGTGTAACTTAACCGTAGTTTAAAATAATAACTATCCCATAGCTTACAGTTACATTATTTTCACAAAAACACTTTCTTATCAATCAGAGAGTTGTGAAAATAGGAGACAAGCCATTGGTAAATTTACTCCCTATTGTTGTATTACAATACATTATGTTTAGTTTCACACAGTTTTTGTGCACTTATCATACCAATTTAGATTCCTTATGAAACAAGGATATTATTTAAATTGCTTGTACTTTTTTTTGTATACTGATTTTTTTGTAAAACATCTTACTTACTGTAAAACGATATTTGTTTTTCTTAGTTAAACATTTTTGAATGAAAATAAATACGTTGTTTGGCTATTGTTTTCGAATCTTTTTTAATTTATAATTGTTAATTATTGAAATAATAACCCAAAACCACAAAAAACAAATGTTTAATCGCCAACTTTTTTCTCTCTCGACTACTTTTTTACTCTGAAATATGGATTGTTTTTAAAAAAATCTTAAATCTTCAATAACTTTTCAACATTTGAATATAGGGTATGGTATTATATACTAATTTCGATAGCAAAGGGGCTGTACTATCACCTCCTAAAATGTTTTACACCTATTCACCTGTATATGTGCAAAAAGTTGAAAATGATTTGGTTACAAATCCGAATAATTTTTGGACGTTCATTCGGTCTAAGAAAGGCTATCTAGAATACCAGGTAGGATGAGCCTTGCTAATGAAATCTCAGATAATCCTAATCGGACTATTAGTTCATTCGCAGAGTATTTTCAAAGTGTTTATGTTATAGATAATGATTTATACCAACATCCCGTTGTTAATACTCAGCATGACTGTTTTCATCTGGATAACTTCACAGATGGGGATATTTTAAAGGCACTGTGTATATTACCAAACAAGTTAACAGCAGAGCAGATATGGTACCGAGCTTTGTAGTCCGCGTAATGCGGCGCACATATTTGTCACGCCTTTAGAGATAATTTTTGATTATTCCCTCAGTACAGCAACTTTTCCTACAAAATGGAAACTGGCTAGAGTGTGACCTATTTAAGCTGGGGACCCTAGTAAAATCGAAAATTACCGAGCTATATCTATATTGGATAATTTTGGTAAAGCATTTGAGATATCTGTATACAACTACATCTAACCTTTAACCTCGCATCTGATATCTGATACGCAACATGGATTTAGGCGCAATCGCTCTACTATTTCTAACTTAACTGAAATCACCCAGGAGATTGCAGAAGATAATAGGGATCAGATGGATGTGGTCTACATGGATTTCTCAAAGGCCTTCGATAATATTAGTCACCAAAGAATCATAGGTAAACTTCAGCATTTTGGTTTTAGCAATCATTCATTAGATTTCATTTCTTCTTACTTGCATAATAGAAATCAGAAGGTTTTTTACAATATATGCTTAGATTAACAGCATTGATGACTGTCTGATCTTGCAAGCTGACCTGAATCATATATTTGAATGGTGTTCAACTAATAAATTATTTTTGAATGTTAGCAAATGCAGAACCTGTTCTTTTACCAGGAAAACGAATCCAATAGTTTTTGATTACACACTGGAAGGTGTCAGTTTGATTCGTTGTTCAGAAGTAAGAGATCTAGGTGTGTTGTTTGATGTTAAATTAGAATTTACAGGTCATATTAGTACAATAGTATCATCCGCTATAAAAAGTCTCGGTTTTTTGATAAGAAACTGTAAATCGTTTGGTAGTGAAACGGCACTGAAGGTTTTATACTGCACCTTGGTGCGTTCTAAGCTGGAATATGCATCTAGTGTATGGCATCCATAGTACCAAATCTATACTAATGAAATTGAAAGTGTACAGAGGAGATTTCTTAAAAACGTGACTTTCAAATTAGATGGTGTTTATCCCAATCGTGGGACTCCCCAATTAGCAATGTTGCTCAGATTTGAAATGCATCCTCTTGAGCTGAGAATAGTTTGTAATAGTTTAAAATCCCTTTACAAACTCGTACACAGTGATGTTGATTCTTCAGCTTTATCAGCTAAAATTGATTTTCATGTACCGTCCCGCATTTCCCAAAGATTTCTCGCTTTTTACTTAAAAACACCAAATTCTAATGTTATGATTAAGTCACCCGTGTACTTTATGTGCTCCAGCTTCAACACAATAGCTGATAATTGTGACATACATCATGATAAAGTCAAAGATATGTTAGCTGTATTCAGCGACTACTATTATTCAATTTAAGGCATTTAAAAATACTGTAACGTCAAATTGTATTCATTTACATTGTCCTTCAAATGGATGTATCTGTTGAGCAATAAATATATTATTATTATTATTAACTTGTCAGGCACGGATTATCGTTCCCGATCGCAATAATATTTATTTTTTGTGTTGTTAGAGTGAAATGTAAAAAAATAAAGGGTACACGAATTTCAATTCGAACAAAAGTTTGTTTGCCGTCATAGGCATAGCATGGAAAAGTACCTAAACCACAGTTCCCCAAACTTTTTTGTGTCGTAGACACCTTGGCATGTTTTTCCGTGTTGGGTAGACCCCCTACTTACCTGATATTGATTTCCTGTAAATTTCTAACGGTAGTGAAGTTTAGTGTTAAGAACTTAAAGTAAAAACACATGTTAATTTATACATTTATTAATTGAATTTAAATTAAAACTACTCAAAATAAAATTTTGTATCTGTTATGTAAAATATACGTAACATTAAATAAACAGGTGTCTGACCAATAAGTCCCCGTATTGGGAATAAGTGCCCGCATTGAAAAAAAAATAAGAGGGATAAAATAAAAAAAAAGTGAAAAATAATAAAGAAAAAGTGCCCGCATTGAAAAAAAATAAGAGGGATAAAATAAAAAAAAGTGAAAAATAATAAAAAAAAAGTTGTTTACTTAAAATAGTACAATAATCGAGTTCGTTTATTAATCATAACATAAACGTATGTTCTACAATAATTTCACTGTTAGTTTGATTAAATTCCGCTTCTTATACGTTTAGATTATCTAAAAATAGGCAAAAAATTCACGAATTTTAGTGTGTACCTATCCTTGAATTTTCAGAATAATTAAAAAAAATATATATTTTCTATAAAGTGGGGTTCTTTAAAAAAATCAATGCGGGCACTTATTCCCAATGCGGGCATTTATTGGTCAGACACCAATAAACATAAAATAAACTATAAATAAAATAACACAAGCAATATGTCAATATTTTTAGTGAGAAGGATGAACCTGATGCTTTAATAATAAATTATCAACATTTGGCGTCAATTTTGTAAGGGTTAACTTAAATCTCCTCGGCTAATGATGTCCAGTCTGTTTCTTTTTTTCGTTAGGAGATTGGTAACAGCGCTAAACGCCCTTTCAACTAGGTATGACGATGGAAAGGAAATTAAAAATTTCCTCGCTATATTCCATAATACGGGATAAGTAACGGGTATGTTGTTTTGCAGCCAGAATTGCTGATATCCGTTTTTAAACTGAACCTTAAGTTGTTCGTTTGTACTTAGTTCAGTCAGTTCCTCTTGTATTATGACAATTGGTTTCTTCTATGTCACCATATGGATTAATTATCCACGGTGGTATTACCATAGTCAAAATATCCTCAAACCTAGATTCAAGATCTGAATAGAGGGCATTTAAATGTTGAACGTAAGTTGAAACGTCGTCTTCTGGCAGCTTGTTTGTGACAAATTGGGGAACTGAGAAAATTCGCCCCGTCCAATATTTTGCTTCATTAGTTTAACTCTGGCAAGAAACGCTGATAAGATGGACTTTGTTTTAATCAAATTTAAACTGTCGCCTTGTAATTGCAAATTAACCATATTAAATTTTGTAAACAAATCTGTTAAATAGGCGATGTCTGTTTTCCTCTTCAGTAAATTTTCTTTTAAAATTTTATCTTTAGTATCGAGAAATTGTAAAATAGTCTCAAAAAGTGCAAAAAATCTTGTCAAACATAAGCCTTTCGACAGCCAGCGTACTTCAGTGTGAAGGAGTAATTGATGAAAGTGTTCGTCATTTTCTTCACACAACTGCGCAAATAACCGCGTATTCAACGCGTTGCTTCTGATTCGGTTTACTGCATCAATGACTAAATGAAGTGATTCATGCAATCTAACACTCAAATTTTTAGCAACTAAATGTTGTCGATGGATGACGCAATGTATTGCTAACACCCCTGACACATTTTGTTTTAAATAGCTTATAAATCCACGATAACGTCCAACCATGGCAGGTGCTCCATCTGTAGCTACTGATATTATATTTGATAAAGGAATAGCTTTTTCAATGAAGTAATCCTTCAAAACATGAAATATTGATTCACTTTTAGTGTCGGTTATCAAAGTTCTTGCGAAGAGCAGTTCTTCGTAGATTTCTTGATTCATAAGAAAACGAACATATGCCAATAATAATGCTGCATTATCAGGTAAAGTTGACTCGTCCAGTTGTATAAAGAAATGGGTCGCTTGCAAATAATTACATAAGAACCTTTCAATATCAGAACTCATTTCATCAATACTTCTTTCAACAGTATTGTTGCTTAAGGGAATTCTTTTAATAATATCAGATGCAGGTTTGTGTAAAACAGTTTTTAAAACCTCTTCAAAATTAACTTTTCTCCGATAGTATGCGGTTTTCCGGATTTTGCTATAAGTAACGAGATATTGTAAGACGCCCGCAAACCATCATTATTTCTTTGTGACGTCGAAGCGAAAATTCTGTCCAGTGTAGGTCTCTTCTGAAATTTATGTTTGAGTGTTTGAAAGTATTTCAAATCTTTCTCTGTTTTATCAGGGTGGCATCTTCTCAGATGATATTGCAGTTTAGATGGTTTCATAGCGTCATTGCCCAAAACTTTGTTGCATAAAAGGCACATAGGCGATTGTTTTTCCGGCAATGATTGAATGAAGCAAAATTTCAAATAATCAACACTGTGCTGTCTACATTTATTTTTAGATTCGGACATGGCATCAGTCATCTGTGGGCAAAATTAAATTATTTAAATAAGACAGAAAATCCAGCAGCTGTATAATAAAACTATTTTTTGATTTTTCCGAAAACATTCAATAATTCGAACATCTTCTTGCAACAATTAGCTCGAATTACGGAAATTGCACTGTAATTATATTACCGATTGCTAAAACTTTCAAAAAGAAATTATTGAGGAGTACTAGTGTAATTTTGCATGATTGAATATTCAACTACTAGTAACTAAGGTCATGATTGGCGTAATTTATATATCTTTGCTAGAGTACAAAAGTAAAATTTATTAAAAAATAATGTACTTACTTTTCTCCAGCACTCTCAGACAAAATAACACTGACTCACTATAATTTGTGTGATAAACTATCTGTTTATATTTTTTAAAATATTATCTTAGCACTTTCCTTTTCAAGATTCATGAAACGACTAAACGTATTGGTCCCACATTCGTTTTTATAGAGTGACGAATTGAACAAGTCAGTGCAAGGTAGCGAAGCTCTGAGACTGCGACTCTCAGGTTTTTACAAGTTCAAAATGTATTGCGACCACAAAGCGAATACCAACATCATACAACTTACACAATTTTTTGATATTATAAGATAGTATGATGTAAGTAAATAGGTACTATTGGTGTATGTGTTGAGATCCACTATCGTGGACCCCCATATTCATTTCATGGACCCCCAAATTTTGTTTCGCTGACGTAGACCCCTTGCAGGTTGTCATAGACCCCTAGGGGTCGATATAGACCACTTTGGGAATCAATGACCTAAACGGTAGATATTTCTTCTGGTGCTTCAGATATCCCATCAGTCACAGTGAGAATGCATCTCATACAACACGCTTTAGCATGCCTGAACATTTTAGTCGGTTGTCAGCGAGTTGTCCGCACCAGAGGTTCAAAATGCCGGTTGCCTTTCGTGATTTCATTAAAGAAAGACTGTTCTTTCACCACGACCGATTGATCTTTTTTGTTTTATTGTCCTGGTCTTATTCTTTTTGGGCGGTCCACGCTTGGTGGCTTGGTCGGCTACGTAAATCAGCTGGATGGTTTCGCATCAAGCATGCTGAGACCTACGAGGGGTTCGCAAAAACATGTTTCCACTGGTGAATAGCGTTGAGTAAGTCGATGTCATTGGGTACCGTGGGGCTATAGGGGGATACAGGGGAAAGGGGGAGCGCCACACGGACTCTGGCGAGGGAACACGTGTGCATGCCTACGAGATCCGCCGGGTGGTACCACCACGTTCGACAGTCAGATACCGACTACCACCTACGGACAATCACAACAGCCATAGCCAAGAGAACAATTTCTCTTGGGAAATTCTGAGTTTCTTTTAGCCATAGCTCTGAAATTAATATAAAGTCTACGTGATTGTTACATAGGAAATTTTGTAAACTAGCTTTGTTGGCACAGATTGAGCGAGCATTCCATTGTAAAATGCTTACATATCTCTTCCTTTCCCTTGGAGGGTGTGTTGAACGACTATTCATCAATAGGTAGCAAAATCACTCAATGTGGAAATATCAATTACCTCTGTGTTTATTTTAGGACTGGCTGAATTTCTCTTTGTCTCAAGAATAGAGTTTATACGTTCATTTATGTTTATTTCAGAAATTGTTGACGGCGAGTTTAATAAACTGGTATACTGGAATAACTGCAATAAAGTAGAATCACGTAACAGAATAGTTGTATAGTTGACACAAACTGAATATTCTGTTTTTTTGTGTTTATTTGGAGTTAGAAATTATTGCTGTGTTTAAAAATACAATCTAATCAATCATTTCAATTACTTGTAATGCCCAAACCAAAAATGTAAAAAAATATTATTTTCCCATAAGTAATTAAAAATGCATCGAATCTTAAAAATCGAAATATCTCAAAACTATAACGAAAACTCACAGGAGGGTTTTTTATGTTGAAAAGTGCGGAGAATCAGTTTTTTTATTCAAAAAGCAAAAAATTGCACTAAGAAAATTTTTTCAGTCATTTTAATACACTACAGGTACAGTAGAGAGCGATCTCTAGCGGCTACAGTAAAACTATGCCCATAGTTCGTTTTGTTTTACCAAAAAACCGTTGTATACCAATTTTCACTATTATACATCAAATATTGTTCGAAATATTAAAAAAAACTGTTTTAGAAAGTAAATTTAAACACCCTGTATTTCGGAAGCCACGCATTTTTCGGCGCATGTTTATGTAGACTTTATGCATTAATTTTAAAAGTTCTATCGAATCTTAAAGTTATGCAACAATAAACTGAAACACCCTGTATAGAGGTCTCCGGAGACCTATACCGTTTTTATTTAGTTTTTTGTCTCTACAAGTTGTGACTACCTTATAGCCACATGTCTCCCATTTATAACTTGTATACTAACTAAAATATGCATTCCCCACCAAAACGAATATTTAAAAAAATTACCCAGTATCAACATAAAGTTTAATATCGGTCTCCGGAGACCGATATAGCAGTCACCGTGTTAAGACTAAAACGACGATATGTAGATGAATTAATCAAACAACATATCTATGTTCAACTCAATCATGTATAGATTTAGTAAACCATTTACTTCTGCGGATTATACTGTTCTTCACTTATGTTAAAGATCCACATAATAAACTTTATAGCTAAATAGTACGATCGCAAAAAATACGCGTCCGAAATGGTATACTTTCCTTTTTATTAGGAACAATAAAATCTCTATTGTTTTAGGGTACACAAGTTGTGCAAGTTGTCTCTGCTTGAAATGTTTTACGTTGATTGGTCTGAAATACGCCTTAAGCAATAAAGTCCCGAAGTAGTAAATAGTAAACACCTAATAATAATCTGGGTAGTCTTAAAACGCCACTTCTATATCACCAAAGCTATTGGGAGCTTTTTTGGTACAAGAAATATTCATATCCTCTATCTGTTTGGACAATTTTCTCATTTGTTAACAGAGTTGGTGATTCTTGCTATTGGAAGTATAACCATTAAAAGTTATCAATTTGTACAACTGCCGATGTCCCTGTGACTACTTGCAAGTCAATTCTTATAATTATCACACTAATGTAGCTAGACACATAAATATACTAAGTGACATATAAATCCGAACACCCAGTTTAAATGGTTTTATTTTAATAAAAGTTGGTGAATGTATTTATCTTACTGTAAATAACAAGTGAAAGAATTTTCAGCCTTATCAGTTCGACATTCCGGTTTTTATACTGATTTTTTTTAATTCACTAACGCTCTAAAAATGAATATTTCAGCCGCAGTAAAGAATCAACGTTGGCGGATTTTGGTTCTTGACATCCTTTACGATCGGTTACGATGCCTAGAGTACGGAGACCTGTACGATTTCGTCAACTTAGTGAGTTTGATAGGGGCCGTATAGTGGGACTTCGGGAAGCTGGACTTTCTTTTCGGGCAATTGCAGTTAGAGTGCAAAGAAGTGTAGACACTGTGGTTAGGTGTTGTCAGGCATGGCTTCGAGAAGGCCGTACGCAAAGAGCAAGGGGCACTGGATGCCGCCGTAGAACAACAGACCGTGAAGATCGCTGCCTAAGATTATTGGCCTTAAGGGACCGTTTCTCCACTACCAGGTCCATTGCAAATGAATGGTTTGCAGAACACGGAAGACCTATTGGCATGGGAAGTGTTCACCGACGAATGAGAAGGTTTGGCTTGTTTTCATACCGGCCACACTGGGTCCTCCCTTTAACTCGAGAACACCGACGTAATCGCCTTGAGTGGTGCAGACAACGGTCACTCTGGGATTAGGAATGAAACAGTATTGAAAGGAGGAATCCACAGTTTTTTGTTGAAAGACATGTTCATCACACTGTTGGAGTTATGGTTTGTGGTGGTATAGCTTATGGTTCCAGGTCACCTTTAATCTTCATCAGAGGTAACATGAACGCGCAGCGTTATATCCACGAAGTTCTATAACCCCATCTTTTACCCTATCTTGACACCCTGGCAGATCCAACTTTCCAACAAGATAATGCCCGACCACATGTTACAAGAGTCACAATAGACTTCTTTCAACATAATGATGTCACATTGTTACCATGGCCACCAAGATCTCCCGACTTATCCCCAATTGAGCACGTGTGGGATATGATGGGTAGGAGATTGCTCAATTTGCAACGGCCTACTCAGATTCTAGAAGCACTCCGAGACGAGTTGGTGGTTGCCTGGATTGAGATACCACAGGAGGACATTGACCACCTGATCAGAAGCATGCCTAGGCCGTTGGAGAATGCGTAGCACATCAGGGTGCATCCACACATTATTAAAGGTCAAAGGGCTTTAAAGCAGTGCAATCATTTTGAAATTTTTACCATTTACTTATTATGCTTCATTAAGTACTTATACAAAATTTTATTGAAACAAAACCATTTAAACTGGGTGTTCGGATTTATATGTCACTTAGTATAATTCCAAATATCACTAAAAACTCGCACACATTAAACTGTACGAGTTCTTATTGCATAGAATTTTTAAACGGAATGACCGAACAAATATTTCTACAAAAAACGATTCATGCATGATTGATATGCAATAGCAATAGCAAACATGTGTTCTAAAGAGTCATTGTCGTGGTTAATGTATTTTTTCCCCCAGGATGGCACATCGAAAAGGTCGCACACCTATTTGTGATTCTCCTGGTATGTTTTTGGAAAAACGATCGGACACGTCAGTTTTGATTTCTGGGAGACGTCCTTTCCTCTATAACCGTACAATACAGGGCGATCCAAAAATAAGATATTGCATTACACTTTAGATCTCTAAATGGAAACCCACATTTTTTTAATTCCTAGATTTTCCATGAAGGTTTTAGTAGCTTTTGTATAATCAAGTTTATGACTATCTTCAATCGTTGTGAAGCTATTTGAGTTTATAATAAAATTCTAGAAATTGTGATAATAAGGAATTATATATTGAAAATAATAATCAATATAGTTCCCATAGTAACAAGACTACTTTAAAATTAAAAACAAGTCTCCCAGTATTAAAAAAAAAACAAAAAAGCAACTTACAGCTTCCACGCACATTGAAGTTAAAGTAAAAGTTAGTTTGCTATAAAGAGGTAGGTCAATGTGGTAATAAGTACTGAAAGAGGTGTAATAATGCAATAATAATGATTTTAATTGAATCTGCTCCTCACATTTTAAACGAAGTCTTGTGTTATTTGTCTACATTCAGCCGTAATCCGCTGGCAAAGATTTCCGATCGTTTTTTCCAAAATATACCAGGAGAGTCATAAACGGGGATGCGACCTTTTCGTTGGACCATTGTATGTTTTTTTTTCAATAATTTATTTAAACACAATAATACAAAATGTATAACCAGTTTTAACAATAATTCCACAATCAGTGTTTGCAAACACTGGCCCCGAGAATAATAAAACAATAATCAGTATCTACGAACTATAGGTACACTGCAATGTTGCTCATAATTACAACAAATAAATTTATTAACATTTTTAAAATCTTTCAATTCTCTAACAAAACTTCTATACTTATTTGAATCTTTTATACAATGAGGTAAATTATTAAATTTCTTAATTGCGTCTGTGATTGGATTTTTAGTGTTAAACATATAGTTACAAAGTCTATAAATCCTATTCTATTAGAACGGATTATTTTTGGCCTAATGTCAGAAATTACAGTTGAAAACAAGTAATGGTCACACCAAATTATTTACATAGTGTACTACGAACTTGTGAAACAGTGGGTCAAGTGTTCAAGGAGGCCGTATGAGATTCGAAGTGCCTATGGAATCGAAAAAACCAAAAAGCCACTTCGATTGTATTTCTGTTATAGTAATTTGTGAGATATTAACGTTAAAACTGTTTGGTCAACCTTCGGCTAGAAGAACTTTAGAACATTCAGAAGAAGTACTTGTTCCAATGTATTCTTAGTCATCTTGGCTTCTAAATGGACAATATTTTTCTAGCACAGCTATACTCTTTGACATTTCCGGCCTAATCCCACTTAATGTAATGTATGTTAAGTAAATAAGCTTTCTCATTACGGATTCCATTCATCTTTAGCTTTAGCACTCATTCAAAGTTATATTTATGAAAGGAAGCAATATGCTACTTTCAACGGCTTCAAGTCGTAACTAAATTGGGACTGCTTCAGGGTGCAAACCTTGGTACTTTATTGTTTTCCTCATTTATTGATGATATTGCGCAATAAAGTTAAATTCTAGCAATCCGATTGCTTTAAGGTTATCTTTAACCTTTTTGTAAAGTTGCTTAGGCTGCATTCTTTATACTCAGTAGAAAAGACGTTATGTAGTTTGTGTGCCCAATACGGAGAATTACGTGCGAATGTCGCGCGACTAAGATGAGTTTATTTCTATAGAATCTTCGATCGTACTGACAGAGGGGGGGGGATAGCTGTTTATAAAGATAATATGATGCTTTAAGGAGAAGCGTCTTATGCATCAGAGATAGGCAATTCAGTTTCCTCAATTTGTCCATCTTAAGCCAAAGCTGCCACTAATATGAACAAAATTACGGATTCCATAAGAAAAAAAAGATGTACTAAGAATTTGTTCTGAAGATATACAAGCAAACCCGAAACATTGAAATTATCCCAAAAAAATTGTTTTTTACCCTTGAAAAGATCAACAACGTCGATTTATATACTTTCAGAAGTTACCTATTTTCTTGGTCTTATAGAACGGTAGTGATTCTTTAGATGGTTGTATTCTTCCGCTCTACTTGATAAATAATAAAATTTTCATATGTATGTTATGGTTCACTATTCGACATACGCTTGAAGTAACAAAGGTATACTATGGTACGAGAACCAAGCGTACCGTATGCTAATATATATAAATTATTTACCACAGCTGCTGGAGTTCATTCGATCTAATCGCTGACGCTCCTTTTTCAGCCCAAAACTCGTTAAGGTACTCGTTTGAAAGAAGAAAACACACTGGGATCATTCAACTTTTTATCACCTGAGGCAGCTTGGACCGAATGTATCTCTGTTACAACTGGTTGTTACATCTTTCAAACATAATTGGATTATTTTTAATGAGCTTTTTTATACATAGGTATTAAGATACTTCTGTATACGGCATTTCGTTCCCTTGACGGGAGAAGTGGATTTATCAACGGGTCACCAAGCGGAAGAGATCAAGCTTCAAAGTAAGTATATACAGGGTGGCTGATCCATGCTGGTCAAGGTCGTTTTTGGGCAAAGTTTGCTGATAGAAATCATTTGACTTATTACAGAAAATACGAGTATTTTGTGGTACAATAAGGAAAATTGTCGAAGAAACATAAAAAAACATTTTTGATATACATTTTTCAGTTAGTGATAATTTTCGTATTTGTTGTCGGTTGCAGATAATTCTGATGCATATTATTTTAAATATATCAATCTTTAAACAAAAAGAATAAATGAGCTATGGGGGAAAGATTAACGGTTTTGACTAGTTTAAGGCAAAGTTTTTTGTTTTTTTAAGGAGTAAGATTGAAATAAAACGAACTTTGACGTTAAAAATGATATTTTTTGTCAAGTTACTGAATAAAATAATAATAATAATAATAATAACAATAATAATATTTATTCGCCAAAATACAAAAAATGGACAAATAAATATGAAAAAACCACAGAAGGCATCGCCTGTGTGTGGTTTATATCTTAATAACTAACAATCAATCATATATGTGTATAACAATTATTGTTAAATCTAAAAAGTATTAATGTAATTGGAATTTTGTAGTTTTAGTTTTCTATATAATTATGTATAGTCATTCGCTGCACAGTACAAAACCCTCAATTCTTTCAATTTTCGTCTAAATTTTTTTCCAAAATTAGGTATTTTTATTTCGTTTGGTACTACATTAGATAATTTAGCTGCTAAGAATTTAAATGATTTTTTGAATAATGTTTTGTGTGGTCTTTGGATATTAGATGAGCCTCTTCGAAATCGTGTGTTATGCTCGTGTTTATAGGATTTTTTTTCATTACAATACTTATGGTATAAGGTGGTGGCATGTAAGAAATAAAGTTGTCTTGTATCAAGTATCTCTGTTTCCTGATATAAGTTGTTCGTCGGATATAATCTTGGCTTATGGAAAATGGCTTTCAAAACAGTTATTTGTGATATATTCAGGTCAGAAATATATGTCTTGCAGGCGGCACCCCAGGCTGTGATGCCGTATATAATATGGGTTTCAACTAAGGCGTGGTACAGGATTCGCAGATAACTTTCGGTAAGAATGTTAGCAAGCATTTTGAGTTTATTGGCAACATTTCTAATTTTTTTTGATAACATATTTAATATGGTTATCCCACCTTAGATGTGAGTCCATAAATATTTCAAGATGTTTAAAAGAGTTAACTCTATCGATTTTGATCTTTTGGCCATGATAATTAATGGACATTTGTTCGAAGGTAGGTAAAAATTTTGAATAGGATGTAAATGCAATAAATTTTGTTTTTTCTTACATATACTACCACCCCATCATTCTGATTGTATATGTAAAGCATATCATAACCTTCCAAATAGAACAAAGATACATCATTAATTTTCCAGACAATACAGACTAATACATGATTTAATTCAACTATTGATGCAAACTTAAAATATTTTCATTTGCTCATCTTTACTGAATTCTGATGCAGAAGTTTCTTTATCATCTGGCGAAAAGCTCTGATGGTATTTTCTGTTCTCTTTATAGAACCACAGATCACATTGTGGCACACAGTCATAACGTGATCAAATTTAATTTTCATTAGCTTTCTTTTTTCACTATACATCCTATTTGTAGTGCTTGGCAGAGTCATGGGCTGCATAAATATTAAACTGATACAAAGAGACTGTTTCACTCAATTTAAATGATATTAAACTTATTATTCTTCCTTGAAGGATTCTTTACAAACAAATGTTGCAAATGGACCTTGAAATTTAAAAATATGTCCTGCGCTACATGGATGACAAGTTTTTGTTTGTGTTTTCAATAATCTGTAACTAGGGGAGAGGGGGCATATTTTAACCTTTTTTACGATCAGCTGTCAAGGTCACTAAAATAACAAAAAAAAATTGTGTTTTTCGTTATTGGAGCATTCCTACATATGTTTTGTCTTATAATGAAGATTTGTTTTTTGTTTCACCTTTTATATATTTAAAAAAAAATTAACATTTGACATTGACATAGGGAGGCACCTTTGAGCGCTAGGGTACCTATGAACATAAGTAATAAACACCTTAAAATCAACTATTTGAAAATATTTTTTATTTAAAAAGCCAAATGAACACTTACTCTAATAAAAAACTTAGGTCTTATATTTTAGTCTTAGAAATAACTTAGTATTTATTTATTTGTTTTTTAGAAGTAAATGAACTTATGTCTAACATTTTTTAGCGGAAACTAAATTTGGATTGATTAAACGAAATTAATGTCTGTGTTATTTCGGTTCCTTTGATGTTTGAAGATGGTAATTTGCACACAACATTATTTAGTTCTACCGCAGTAATATCTTCGTTTTGAGGAAAATAGAATTTCATCCCTTCTTTCTCATAAAAGCAACTTGCAGCTCGTGGTTTGCTTTTTCTCTACTTTGCCCAACAGTTTCATCCAGATTAAAAATTCTATTTGGGGTTAATGGGTGTTTTTGCAAAGCTCGGGTGTAGTTTTCGAAAAACTCATTCACGTCATTTTTATTAAGACTTGTTGCTCTTAAGAGGCTCGTGGTTTTTGGATTGCGTAAAGATAGCTGTGAATGTCTTTTCATAAATCCTTGTACCCAGTCCAACCCGGCCATTGAGTTAGTTTCCCAATTAGGTGGCATCCTCCTACTCAAAAAACAGTAAATTTAAATTAAAAATCTAATGTTTGAACAAGATTATAAAACATTACCTTACTGCATAAGCGAAGGCCAGGGATCTCAAAGTTTTATAGGTTAACCATCGCTCATTCTGGAGCATTTTTAAAGCTGATTGAATACTTATCGGAAGGTATATTTGGATGATAACGCTTCCCGAGGTTCTGAATCCGTGATCCACTTTTTTTTAAGCCGATGAAAAGTATAGACATTAGCAGCCCTTCTCAGGGTTTATTCATCGTTTTGAGTAACAGCAGCCCTCATGTCCCATTTATTACACTCTGTCTTTTTTTCGTTTACTCAAATAATTTCTAACCTTTTTTGAAATCTAAAACCAAAAACAATTGTGACATACCTACAAACAAAAGGATTTTCTTATAGGGGTAAGAATGTGTTGAAAACGCGGCAGATACACTGTAATTTAATGACCGTCGTGGGTCTAACCAGAGGAGCAGTTGTTTATAGTTGTCTATTTCGAATCAGCCGCGAAAAAATAAAAGAAAACTTTTGTACCTACACTCGGGGAGTTTTGAAATGCAATAATCAGCTGTTATTCAAATAATGTGTACTGGTGAAAAAAGAAAAATATGGCATTCTTCTAGTTTTTTTGCAGGTTTTAGGTTTGCTGGTACCTTTAAGACATATATTTGGGTATTTCTTAATTGCTGTAAATGTAGTGTGGATGTTTGTTCAGTTCCTGAACAACGAAAAATATTCAACTTTATAATAATAATAATAATAATAATAATAATAATAAAATGTCTTTATTAGGCACATTATATACACTACAACATAATGTGACCTCTACGTAGGCGAAGTCTAGCTCTTGGCTACTCTACTTAACCTACCCAAATACTAAATTGAAACACTCAATTTTGACAAGCAAAAGACGCTTCAAAACAACGAGCTTGATAGCTTCCTAGCATACATATATACACACATATATTACGTAAAATAAAATAAAATGTAAGAATTAAAAACTAACTTTTCCACAATTACTACAATGACAAATAAATATGTTTCACATGCTTACGAAATCTGTTTACTGGCCAATCCTTTATATTGTCATCTAATTCGTTATAAATCAGGATAGCATTGTAAGTGTATGAACTACGAAATAAAGTTGTTTTATACATAGGGATCTCTAGTCTTTTTTTTTGTGTCTGAAATCAATGTCTGAATTATTTCGTCTGAAAACAAATTTCTCATAAAGATACAAGGGGGATCTAGAAGATATGATCTTATGTGTAAACAATGCTATATGGTACTTGCAAGCATTTTCTATACACATCCAACCAAGCTGAAATCTCTTTAAGGAAACATGATCATACTTCTTGAGATTAAATACAAATCGACAACATGTATTTTGGAGTTTTTGGAGTCTTGCTTTTGTGATAGAATCAAGACAGTGCTACAATAAAATAAGCTTGGAAATATAATAGCCTCACATAACTTTTTTCTAACTTTAAAATTCAAAATAGAGCGATTGACATAAAAACACTTCAAAGTTGCATAACATTTTTTTTAAGATACACGAAACATGCTCCTTAAACCGTAAAGTATAATCAATAATCAACCCTAAATTTTTTGTAGTATTTACGACAGCTAGACGCTCCTTGTCAATTTTTACATCAAGAGAATACAATATAGTGTTACGTTTGACAGCAGGACAAAAAAGCATCACTGAGCACTTATCCTTATTGAGCTTAAGATTGTTACCATTTGAGTATCCTACTATTGCCTCCAAATCATCATTAAGTTCATTGATTGGAGTATGCAAAGTGTTACTATTAAAGCTCTTATATATCTGTGTATCATCGGCATAGCACATCACAGAAGAGTTTTTCACAGAGCTACCCAAGTCTATAGTATAAATTAAGTACAACAAGGGCCCTAAAACTGAACCCTGAGGGACACCTGATGTTATATCAATCGGACTAGATATAGTGTTGTCTATCTCTACTACTTGTTTACGATTTGAAAGATATGTTATAAAAAACATTAGAGGTATGTCTGAAAAACCAAAAAACTTCAATTTAGCACATAAAAGCTCACGATCTATTTTATCGAACGCCTTAGAATAATCTAATGATACAAGTGCTGAAGCATCTCCCTTATCAAGCGAAGCAATGATGTCATCTAAAACCCTTGCTAAAGCTGTAGTTGTACTAAAACCACTGCGGAAACCAGATTGACACTTGGGAAAGAAATCATTATTAGAGAAATAATGATAAACCTGATGTTTAATCAATTTCTCCAATATCTTCGATATAAGAGGAATCAAAGTTGTAGGTCTTAAGTCTGAGAGACATTT